AGCTTCTCATCAACCACCACCCCCAAGCCCTACTCCACAGGGCTGCTGTGAATCTCTTCTCCATCCAGCCTGTAGCTGTGCCTGGGGTTGTGCCGACCCAGGTGTAGGACCTTGCACTTGTCTTGGTTAAACTTCATGAGGTTGGCATCAGCCCACCTCACAAGCGTGTCCAGGTCCCTCTGGATGGCATCCCTTCCCTCCAGCGTATCAACCGAGCCACACAGTGAATTAACTGTAATATTTCTTAAATCCAGTATTTCAAACATATTTTAATCTTTATATCATATTCCTATGTGATCTATACTTTTCTTTCTGATGTTCATTATGCAAGTGGCTCTGCCACTTCTTGTATTATGGCTTTTGCAGATGGTGAGAACACTGTAGCTGCAGGTAAAGACTCCAATTCCTTGAAAGGCTACTGTGGACCTTGAGAGAGGGAGCTATTTATTCCAAGTTATGCAGTAATCTTTTGTTGGTCAGCTTCTCTTGGTTGTCTTGCCCAGATTTTGATTTCCAAAAAGATTTTATGACACCCCTGAAGTGGAAAAAATAACAAAAACATACCTTTAAGCAGGCTTACATAAATTGCTCTGAATCATTCCCTTCCCATCCACAGTCACTGTAACTGCTTTGTGAAGTACTTTTTTCCAATCTCCAGAAACTTGTTCCTGTTTTCTCTACTGGTGACACAAATATTAAACTACTGGGAAACTTAAACAGTTCACCCAGGTTATGCTTGTCTGCAGAAATACCGTAGTTTGACCAAATAAAACATAAATCACATTGTATGCTGTCCACCTACCATTGAAGAATCATAAAGATCATGGCAGAGATCATACCAACAGTCGCGATGATTCCAATTACAAGGCAAAAGATCAGAATGGCATCTGTTTCTTTCCTTGAGTGCCCTGTTCGTATTCTTTTTGGTTCTTCTGCTTGCATTTCTGAAGAAAATAAATATCTGGTCTTTATTATGTTCAAATTTTCAAATGAATCAGGCATTTAATCTGACAGACAGGACTGTAAAAGAGCAGGTCTTGAGGCTTGATTACTTACTTACTGACATTTTTCAAGACCTTCATACCTTTACTGTATCAGCAGTTAAAAGAGTAACATTTTATACCTTCTTTGCAAATGCATATCTAAACAAGATGCAAAGAAATGGAGATCAAGGCATATGGAGTGTGATACATGTCACTTAACGGCCGTGAAACACAAAGAACTGCAATTCCTAAAGAAAAGGAAAAAATTGTGGGAAAAGTACTTATTTGGTACATGCTGTGAATGACTAATATAAAAATATTTTTCTTTAAGAAATGCTTTAATCTAAGATTTCAACACACGTCCCCATAAGATACTTGAATGATAAAGACAGAAGAATCACCACAGGCTTCTACCACTCGAGGCAGGGTGGCTTCTTTGTTCTGTGCCTGGTACCAGGTGCTCGGCCAGGGCTGAGGCACCAAGGTAGCACTGTGCTACAGAAGAATTCTAACAACAGTAATTGCTGCAATAATAATGATAATAATGAAGCCAAAAGAAACTATGCTAACAAAAGACCGGATTCAAGGACTTAAGTGCTGCTTTTCAGTTCCCTGTCTCTGCTTGTGTCTGCAAAGCCTTTATTTAAAGCAAATAACCACTGAGTATGGAAAGGGGTTTCCTGCATGGCCCAGAAACACGCAGCAATGAGCAGCTACATGAAGCTGAGAAGGGAAAAACACAGCAAGGATATCAAGTAAAAATTCATTTTGTAATGCTGCAGCTTGTTCAGTCATGCACCTAAGAAAACTGAGAGCCCTGCCAATACTTAGGCAGTTTCTCTAAGACCAGACATACCAGTTAGAAGATGACTCTAAACAACCCAAGAAGAGTGGAAACTGCTGAAGATGGTCAACTAACTTCCTCCATCTGTTTTTTTAAACTGGATAAAAAACATCTGGAAACCAAGCCCAGCCACCTTGGTCTGAAATTTAATTGACCTTATTTGTTCAGCCACATTCAACCACATCAATGAACCATCAGACACCTTCCCAGATCCCTCCAGCTTTGACAATTCTACACAAGCCAACACTAATTCCTCTTTCATTTTCCCTCATATAGTGTCTACAACTATAAGGTGCTATCTTATTGCTGACTGATATGCAGAATTCATGTTCACACTGGTAGGAATTCTGTGTAGCAGAATGACTGCAGGAAAACCATTTCTATTTCTATTTCTATTTCATTTCTACTTCTATATAAGGTCCTGTGCCACTGTCATCACTACAGTTTCTAAGCAACTCTTCCATTGCATCATTTGAGTTTCATTCTCCCTCATCACTGAATCTTCATTCTGATATTCTTAAACCACAGCTCATCTGTAGGATTCTCCTGATCTTTCTGCAAGGTACAGGAGAGGTAAGAATGGTCAACTGGCTGAGACTGTCACAGACAGCAGGTCTGAATACATAGGTTTTCACACAGTGTAGAGCTACCTGCTTTCAGACTAACTCACTTCACTGACTGGACTGTGTCTTTTTAGAATGCAGTTGCAGGGGATGGAGGTTAATGAAAATTATCTTTGATTTTGCAATTTCATTGATGTAATATATTTTCCCCTTGGCAAGATGTGAATTTGGAACTCTAAGAATACCTCTGTTCACAGGTTGCAACAGAAGCCTGCTGAAGAGAAAATCAAGTTTTGTGTTATCCACAGCTAATCTACTCAAATTCTCTTTTTAGTAATTCTTCCAATAGTCAAGAACCAGAGCTGCCTAAAAGACAACCTGCTAATACAGGGGGGATGCCTTCCAAGTAAACACGTGTTTAAAATGCAAGCAGCTTTCCAATAAGCTGGTTCACAATGAGCAAAGACTGAATCACATCAGGTGCGCTTTTAAGCCCCCGACTGCACTCCTAAAATCCAGGCAATACTCCAGTTAGTCAGTGTGGCTCTTGCCACAGCCAGAATGTGCCTTAAAAACATCATCAGCTTCCAGTTAAGGTTACAAGATGTTTTACACCAACTTTTTCCTTCTTTCTTTGAAATTCTACTTAGCTTAATGCAAGTAGGAAGAACGATTGTTTTCTGAAAGATGAGAAATCCAGTTCAATGACTTTCAGCTTGAAGTCCAAAGCCCACTGCAGGTCTGTGGACTACTTCACTATAAAGAATGACCAAGAAAAAAAAAAGCACCATCATATAGATATTCCACAATTACACTGTAAAAAAAATCCCTAACGTGTGCACTCCCTGGCAGTGTTCAAGGCCAGGTTGGACAGGGCTTGGAGCAACCTGGTCTAGTGGAAGGTGTCACTGCCCATGGCAGGGGCGTTGGAACTAGATGAGCTTTAAAGTCCCTTCCAACTCAAACCATTCTATTATTCTATGATTCTACATATATCAAGAAAGTGGTACACCTCCTTTTTCAGCACCATTTCTGTCCAAAGGAAACCCACTAATTCTGTCAGCAGCATTCTTCCTCCTCATCCTCCTCTTCCCCTGGGTTTTTCATTGAGCTCTAGTTCCTCCTAGACCATTTGACTGTCCATCTACAAGCAGACACTCAACCAATTGTTTATACTGTCCAGCAGCTGACAGGAGTTCTTTCCACCAATTTTCAGATCCAGAAAGTACATATCAGTTTGGCAGAAAGGAATAAGATTTTGCACCTACAGACTCTAGTTTTTGGGTTTGGGTTTTTTTTTCCCCTTAATATAATGGTGATGAGTAGCTTTTTGTTTCCCTTCTAGATTATCTACAAACCTTTTTCTATGTAATAAAAATGGATGGATATATGCTAATGGGAGAGCAGGATTACATATACACAGAGGAAATCTGATTATATATACACAGAGGAAATCTAGGCTGTTTATCCAGAGTACTGGGATTTCCCATTTCATTTCTGTGCAAATGCAAGGACAACATGGCCATGCTGTTTACTGTACTGTTTGTACAGTAACCAGTTACAGAGATGTGACTTTTCTGTCAAGAGGAAGATCTGGCACAGAAATCAGCAGCAGGAAATGAAGCAAGATGGGGGCTAGAATGGCCTCTGAGACACAGAAATGCTATTGCCTCCATCTTCTCCACAGAAGTGCCACTAGCACACACCCCCAGCTCTCTCACTCATGAGAAGTGTGGAGCTTGGAGCACAGCTGGGATCTCAGCAGGCTCACACCCTTCACATAGCATCTTAATGAGGATCCTACTCTGCTCTTGCATTCCTCCCTTGCAGAGCCCTCCCTCCTTACAGGACTATTATTAGTAAATATGATAAACGGCCTTCCAGCTCCAGAGTCTTCACAAAACACTGAAAACCACAACAGGCATGAGTGTGAAACAACATCCCTCCGTGTTTTGCAGTAGTGATTTAGTAAGAAGGGCATACAGAAATGCCAGTTATTAAAAGCTGGGATTTTTCTTGCAGAGATCACAATAATTTTTGATGGAGATAAAATACTTTCTTTTTCCCCCCATGATGTTTCTCTTGCTATAAAAGACAAAGAGAATCCGTAAGTCTGAACAGTTCTGAAAACAAAGGGAAGAGCCAAATTACTAAAGACCACTCACACAAAAGGTCATTACGACTGTTTATCAAAGGTCACCAAGAAGCGTAGTGATCACTGGTAAAGGGGGCATGAAGTTCTCTATGCATAATTTAAAATTAACTAACTCATGTAAAATTTTGCCACATGGCAAATAAATACACACAAATTCCTGTGAAGCTTTAGCTGCCCTTTTGCAACATGACTTCCCTTCCTCCCACCTCACATGCCTCAAAATCTGAAGTGGAAAGTGTCATGCTATGTATTTTCAAGTGGTGGCTTTGCAGGCTTGCAGATGGTGCTGCTGAATCTGGCCACTGCTGTTCACGTGGGTAAAACATCAGAGCACTGGAAAGAGGAGGAAGGATGAGACAAAAGCCCCTTATCAGCTGCACTGATAATTTTTAGCTCTGTTGGTGACTTCAAAGATTCCTCACTAGGAAAATGCCAAGCAAAAAGGCCAGCCACAGAGCAAACATGTCCACTTCCCCTGCACCATCCTGTAGCTCTGTCATGAAGAAATATGTATCTGTGGAGCAACGAAAAGAGTGATTTAGATGGTGAGAAAGACAAAACATACAAACTTAAGCTTATTGACTTGAGTGAGGCAGAGAGATGGACAGAATCACTTCAGCTGGATTTAAAAAAAAGGAATTTAGGAGGTAATAGAGAGAACCTGCTCTTTCCTGCCTAAAACTGATTTGTCTGTTCAGCTGATTCAGATACAACCCTCAAAACCTATACAAGACCCTCTCCCCACAGTTGGTTTGGCCTGTTATACCAAGTGCCAGTGCCCAGTGTGAAAAGCAGCTGGGGTTGCCCTGTGCTGCACATGGACGGTTCCAGCTGGCTCCAACGCAGCCATCGATGAGCCCACCACACACCTGCCCTACCTGTGCTGACCAGAAATCTGTGCCTGGCTTTGGATGCTGGAAAAAACCCAGAGACAGTCTTGTAGATTACCCAAAAATGGAGATTTTAGTCCTATTTCTGATACTGATTTTGTGATTCTGCCCTTTTTTACATTTCAGCTTGGAGACCAGATAGATAAATGGTGGATGTCGTTCTCAGCAGGATGTCTTAGATTTTCTGGAGTAGGTAGAAAAAACATTTTTCTTGACAAGGGTGATAAATTTGTCTCAAAATTCCAAAACCCCATTTTAAAAAGTCTTTTAATGAGGAACTGGGAAAGGCAGCATTGTACCATGGGCAAAAACATTGCCCCTTTCCAGTCTGAACAATTCAGCATGCCATGCTCCCAGAGAACAGAGCAGCTCTGCAAAACACCAGGCACCAGCTAAGAAAGTCCACACCCAAACACAAACTTTTAGAAGGATCTTTCTTATTTCTTTCTGATCCTGTTGGAAAAGTAAATGGAGTCTTCTGATCTGTCTAGGCTTCTGACCATCCATAGCAAGCAAAACTCAATCTGTATGACAAAAGTCCTGGCACATTTTCAACCAAAACTTCAGCTGATAACTTCTTCTATGTACCTAATTAAGAGTTAATAATTTCTGAAGTCCAAACAATGTCAGGTCTGTGGAAGCAAAGCTCAGAAACTCATGTGGGCACCTACACGCACCTCTGTACAAAACCATAGGACACTGATCTAGCACTAAACAGAACAAACCATTCCTTTCAAGCTACTCAAAAAACCTTAGAGCTTGTCTTCCTCAGACTTCTATACAGTCACAAATGTTTTCTGAATCAACAAATCTCAACCCTTGTAAGAAGTTCTCAGTGGGTATGTCTGTTGGGCGGGTTTCATCTGACCACTTTTCACCAAGACTGTGCAGTCACAGCTTAAACACAAGTGTGTGAGTCCTCCCATTGATGACTCACCAGACTCAAGTCAATGGGACCATTTGCATGCTTAAACCTAAAACAGATTATGTGCTCTGCTAATTCAGGTCTCAAAAAGGAAGCTTCCTCTCTACAAAAAGGAATGTACAGACTGAATAGTGGGAGAAGGAAAAGAAAAAAAGCTTTGGATGTTTTGTGACTGCCAGATGGATTCAGAAAATGAACGAACAAATTCCATATTACTGTACAATGGCAGAAATTACCTCAATAGAGATACAGAAACTAGCTTATCTTGCTGAAGAGAGAAGAGGAAAAAAAGCAGGATTCCCAGGCCAGACAGTTTTACCTAGGGAAACAACATGGAGGAGAGAAACACAGGGAGGGGTATCTCCAAGGATTTCTTTCTTGCTAGTCTGCCATAATTTTGCGTAAGACCTGAATTTGTGTTATTTCAGGAAAAAATACCAAACCAACAGCACTTTGATGATCAAAGCACTTTTGCAGTTTCATACTTTCTCTGATTAGGTAAGATGGAGTTTCCAGGCAGCTGTTCTCATGATTTGAGAAAATCAGCACACTGCTACCTTTCCTGATGAAGTCAGAAAAAATACCATTAGCAGAGGATGTGAGAAAGATAGTACCAGCAAACTGTTTTATGATGTAGTCTTTTTAATATCAAACTGTTAAATCCATTGTGTATAAGCAAAATCGAGATCGCCACTAAAAGAAATACCAAAAAGGTTATTTTCCTGCTTCAGTACTGGAGTGGAAAGGAGACTTAACTGAAGAACCTGTGCTCCTGGTGCTATGCGGCTTAGTGAGGCAAAAAGAAGTCTATGTTGACCAACCTGGGTGCAGTAAAAAATAAGCAGGTAATAGAAAACCCTCTTTATTTTAGCTTGAATTTTTAGAAGGGATGAAGAAAATACTCAGTCATACCACAAGGAACGTCTTCATTCCCATCCTGTCACTTCCTTTTATATGTGCTTTTTATTGGCCTGCGTTTCATGACAGTCATTACCACAGCACACAGGCTCCTGACCATATACTACTGGTGACATGCAATCTTACGAAGATCGAGTACCACACAAAAAACACAAGGTCATCTCACTAGAAGACAGTAAGCATCTCTACGAGCTTACCAGTTGCTGCGTGGACCGTGTATTTTACAGAAGCAATGGTACTTCCTTTTTTTCTTCTTCGAGTTTCACACTGGTAAGTAACCGACTGCCTACCTCTGCAAACTTCCATAATAGATGTATCATTGGGAAGAGTATATGCTGTCTGGCAATATATAATAGAAAAACAAACAAACAAATAAATAAATAAATAAAGGCTGTACTTTTTCATATAGATCTGCAAAGATGGATTGCACAGAAAAGTGCATATTCTACTCCAACAGCTTTCAACCTGTCAGGACCTCTTGGCCCTGGGAAAATTTCGCCCATTTCTGCAGCACCTCCTACTTGAACAACTGGGAAGGGTAACGTGGTTGTGACTTGATGACATGTATGCAGTCACCAGTTACAATGCCCCGTTTTTCTGAAATAACAGTAAATATTACTCTCTAAAATTATTGTTTCCCTCACATAAACAGGAAATTGAAGCTGCATGAAGGAGTAAAACCATGTGAGTCCTTGTATTTCAAATTCACCAGTGAGAAATCATGGCTATTTTCCATTATGAAAGCAAAAGAAATAATCTGCCCAGAAGTCTGTACAATTCAAATGGAGCATGTGGTAAATACGTGTGGTATGCATTTTTTCTGCACAAAGCGGGGTTCAATTACTCACCTGGTTTTGAATTAACTTCTTCCAAATGTATTTAAATCGATTTTCAGGAGGTATATATATACAAGGCATCTTCACACACTCAGGGCCCTTAGAAATTGGTGTTCCCCCTGTTGGAAGAATTTTTAATAGGTATGTCATCAACTCTATGAAACACTTCTGTATAGATCATAAAATTCGTAACTCTTCAAACTAAAAAATATTACTTGGAAAATATCCCTTCCCTCAAAATTATTTAAAATACTTTTTGCTTTTTCTAGTGTCTGGAACGAATCACAGCAGATAAACAGCATTTTACAGGGACTTGAAACCAAGCGCACATCAGTACAGAAACAAGATCTGAAACGTTACTGGATTGCTTAACAGGGTAATTGGAGAGTGGAATGCAATCACTTCCACTACACTAACAGAGAGTAAGGAGGTTTCCCTTGAATCAATTTATTTGCTCTAGATTACTGTATCACAGTGTTGTACTTACATCCACAGTCTACTGGCCCCTCACATTCCTCCACACCGATAATACATTTTGTTTCAGCTGCAGGGCATCCACTGGTTAACAGAACTTCTCGAATGCCAATCCCTTTGAGGGGGAAAAAAAAATATCTTTCACTCTGCATTTCTTTATTTCCTTCATACTCTGTTTTTGCTTTCTCTTTCTTTATTCTGGATGTTAATATGATGTATCTACCAAATACCAGGCAAAACAGATCTTCTCAGAGTGCCTGCTAAAGCTATCCCATGTTGGTATCTAAGATTTCAAGACAACATCTACTTCTGTCAGGCTCTGCACACTAGGGAGCTGAGCTAGATTCTTAGAACCATCATGTGTCAGAACAAGAATTGAAAATTAATTTAAATTTTTTCCTACAGGAAAAGTGCTTGAAAAGAAACTAATATATGTTCTGCAAAACAGTTAATTCACTTTAAATATAATTCAGGCTCCTTGCCTTTAAATGTTCAAATCAGATAGCACTGAGAATACTTGTACAGACTGCCAACTCAGTCTGCCTCCAGTCTTGTGACTGTCTGAGCATCTTCAACTCCCACCAGGGTCAACAGAAACCGAAGGTACAAAAAACCTCCTGACAGTGGGACTGGGGAAAGCTCCCTAACAGTGACCACCAGTGAGCAACACAGGAATACAACCAACAGTCTCCAAAATTAAGCCTCCCTGGGAAGCTGGTGGTCAATAACATACGGCTTCTCATCAGAAATGGGTGAAATCAAGTGCTGACCATCAGGACTCCACCTGCAATGTGAGGGGTCCTACTGGAAACAAAGAACAGGAGGTAACCTATCACCAGTGTGTAAAGTTAAGGCAATTCCTACACAATGTTCAAGGAAGCAAAAAAATGTTCGCTCTCCCTATCAGAATTTCAATGGGAACATCCTCATTTTGACAATCACAACAAATTCAAAACAAGTGCTATAATTGGTTTTGCCAAACATTGTGTACACAGTTCATTGGAATGACATAGCTTGTGGGGGAGGCAGGAATAATATGTTTAGGCCCAGTAAACACTGAAGGTTTTGCCATTTTTCCAGAAGCCATTTGTTTACTAATAGGCTTGGAAAGAGGAGAGTTAAAACTCCTTGCAGTAGAAAAATAAATTGGAAATTGGTTTGAACATTGCATTTATGATGCATCTGCCTTCCTTAAATGTGTATGATATAAACCAGTGGATTTCAGATGGTTTCAGAGATATCATGTAACTCGTGAAACAGAACTTAAAGTGACAGAGGGAGACACCACCACTTACTGAATATGACACAGAACGAGGATCATTCTCCTCTCCAGAGAAAGTCTCATCTCATGGATGCAGAGACAGAAGGTGTAAACAGCAGTGAACTGACACTTCTATTAAATGCATTCCTCTTTCTTCAGTGCCATGTAGTCTTTTTAGCTAACAAAAAAGACGGGAAACCTATGAAAAGCCAAAAGACTGGCTTGATAAAATCTGGCTGCTGGGCTAACTCTAGTCATTCATCAGGAAAAATCTCAGCATGATTTATCTATGGGAACATTATAATGTGGGAAGTAAATCATACTTTGAGCATGATTTAATTAGATCTGCGAGTTCACTTGGTACTCCTCTGCCTCTTCCTTTTGGACAGCTTTTTCTTTCATTCCCATATTTCCTTTCCCCACCTTTTCTTCATAGCTGCCAATACCAATGAAATTAATCTACTGAGATGCTCTAATAAATGAAGTCTTAACTTCAACAAGCAGTACAAGTTAACCCAACAGGAAACTGGCCACAATGCAGTTAAGTAAATTACATAAATGAAATTCACCCTAGAAGAAATTTAAATTAATAGACTGGGAGAGGGGTGGCAAAGAAGGATGACCCACAAAGCACTGAATGTTTAGCAATACAAAAACAGCAGTTATGAGAGAAAATGAGAGGTAAGAGTGGCCAAAACAATTAGACCACAAAATGATTAAGGCAAAACTGAGGCAAGTATGACAAGATGTCATTAACATATGCTTTAATTATGCTTTAATGCCTCCATAAACCTGGACTATGACTAGAGGAGCAATGGATCTGAGCCACAGGATTACTGGGGAAAAATAATGAAATTGAGTCAGTTCAGAAAACAAGAAATATGAAGGGCTACATAGATGAATATAGGGAATAAGAAGGACTGAAGGAGGCAAAGAGCTTACATCTTTACTGGAAGAACCAAGAAGCTTCCTTTCAGCCTTTCAACAGACAAACACATAATCACGGAATCATAGAATGGTTAGGGTTGGAAGATCATCTAGTCCAACTCCCCTTCCATGGGCCATTGCCCCTTGTCCTGTCACTACATGTCCTTGTAAAAAAGTCCCTCTCCAGATTTCTTGTAGGGCCCCCTTTAGATACTGGAAGGCTGCTATAAGGTCTCACTGGCATCTTCTCCAGGCTGAGCAAGCCCAACTCTATCAGCCTGTCTTCATAGGAGAGGTGCGCCAGCCCTCGGATCATCTTCACGTCCCTTTTCTGGACATACTCAAGCAGGTCCACGTCCCTCTTGTACTGGGGGCCCCAGAACTGTACACAGTACTCCAGGTGGGGTCTCATGAGAGCAGAGCAGAGGGGCAGGATTACCTGCCTCAACCTGCTGGTCACATTCCTTTTGATGCAGGCCAGGATATAGTTTGTTTCTGGGCTGCAAGTGCATATTGCCAGGTCATGTTGAGCTTCTCATCATCCAACACCCCCAGGTCCTCCTCAGGGCTGCTCTCAATCAATTTTCCATCCAGCCTGTACTTTTGCTTGCACTTGCACTGACCC